CGCAGGGGCCAAAGTCAGAGCAGGATAACTGTGCTTAACGTTTGCTTCATCACTATGGATGCTCTTATATTACTTTTAGTTTTCTTTCATAGGTGTCATTTCATGTCCTGCTCAAAGTCTCTGTTGTTGGTTTGCTTTTTCGGTCTGCTATATTTACTGTTGTGCTCTGGATGTTCGCTGTGGCTGATACATATATGTTGAATCTGATCTTCTATTTTGGTCTGTTGCTTTCTGGTGTTGGTTTTACCTCTTGGCTGGGACACTATTTTTTTTGGATAGCATCGTCAGCTGCTCCACTCATTTTCTTACTTTTTAGTGGCTTTTTATTTGCTTTTAGGAGTATACTTTTTGGGATTGGTATACTTGTACATGTTCGGGCATACGTTTTGTTTCTTGGTATACTTCTTTACTCATTATTTGGTTTTGTGTGGAAGTTTATATGGATGAGGATCCCTATTTTGAGTGAGTTGTACCTTTTGGGTTTTGTTAGTTTGGGGACCCTCTCCAACCTAAACTCTTGTATTATTTTTTGCCTAATTAACATATAGGGAGCCGTATAATGCTCCTTTAACTAAATATATATATATATATATATATACATGAAGATAAATTTTTATTTAATCACACTAATAAAATCTCATGCAAATAAGGATGTGGCTTATGCCCATTGATTTACCCCAAAAAAATACAAAATTATACTGGGATTACAACCGAAGCCTAGAAGTTTTGCAATGGGTAAGTCTATGATTTGTGAGATATAAGGCCTACTTGATACGCCATGAAAAAATCTATTAGCCAAGCATGGCTTCAAAATGACTCGTTAACAAAACCTCACTTTGAGTTAGTAAGTACCTTTCATGACGTAGCATGCATTTATTGTCAAGGATCATTCTGTTAAACAGCTTAGACTATCTCACTGACTAAATAGACTAGGGTCCATGATAACTTGACATTACGGAAGCATGAAATCTTGATTTAATCCTTTATTATTTCCCTCCATTTGCTTTACGATAATGGCATTATATATTTTTAGTAAATAAATCACTACTTATTAAACCTGAGAATTAGAAATCGTATTGGGTGGTTGAGATAAAAATCATATGGGTTTATGTCGTCCACAAACCATAAACCAGATCATAAAATCTACTTTAGATGGTAAAATCTTTATAAAGTACATTATCTAATATCTATTTTACCTTCTGAAAGTAAAACCTAGAACCATTAGATAACTAAAAGAGCTTAGTAGAAAACTTTCAAAGCCAACAAAACCCAAATAGTATAATGATTGGATGTAAGTTCTCACAAACTCAAATGGAGCAAATAAAAAATTAAGATCAGCACTAACAACATATTTGTTGATGAAAGAATGAATGAACAACTTGCAAGAAAAATTATCTACCTCTCTCTCACCTATTCTAGTATTAAGCTAGTGTTATAAGATAATAGATGAATAAACCTACAGAAGACCACATGAATATCATGACGTATTTTAAGATACTTTAAGATGACAACTGAAAAATATATGCTAGATAAAGTCGCACAAGAAAATAAAAAAAAATTTATAGATTTTGAGTGTGATGAAAATGAATCAAATTGAATATACACCACTGCCTATTATACTTGTATATTAATAAATATGGTTAAAAGAAGACATAAGAAAAAAATATAATTTCAAGAAGGAATGTTGACACTGAACAAAGGATAATCAAACTAGAAGTGGTTGAATTTTTTTATCAGAGTACAAAGTGAAAAAAATATCCAAATTTAAATTTGTGACAATCATGATACCATAATTACATGCCAAAAATCATGTCCACTATAATAGGACCGAACAAATTGAGATTGACAAAAGATAAAAGGGATAATTACATACAGACCACCCGAAACATTAATATTTACAAATTAACCACCTAGGTGATTTTTTTGGAACTACCAAACTGATGCATTTACACATGCCACAATCAAACAATTGAGAATTTGATAAAAATGAAATATATGGGTTGGGGTTATACCATGAATTTTGATATTTGAGAGAGCATTTGAAAAATAAATAAAAGAGGATGGTTGATTTGTAATTAGAAAGTTTCGGGCGGTCTCTACGTAATTGCCCCAAAATAAGAATGGACCGGCCTAAGTAAATTATGTTGAAACAAGTTTTCAAATTATATGTATTATCACTAAAGCTTTACCTAAAATATATTTTAATAATCAAATCAAGAAGCTGAACATGATCAACATATACAATCTAATATAAGGAGGAAAACTGAAATAATCCTAACTATATGGCCAGCACCTTCCTTATATATAATGATCTAAATATCAATGGATAACAATTTCTCATCTACAATAATCCAATAATTCATGGGCTACATTTTTCCATTTATGTTGTGCAACTAATATTGGATTTCAAAATAAAAAATTGAGTTTCAAATATATTTCTTTGATGGATAATCATTTCTGCACATATTTATGTTTAACTTTTTTTTAATAAACTGAACAAGAGACTAAAATTCAATCATAAAATCTCTCATTTTTTATAACACTCTCAAATCATTATAATTTTAAAAAATAAAAAATAAATAATAATAATTAAAAAAAAACTAAAGCAAGCCCTCCATCTCCATAGAGTTTTCACAAATTCAAACATAACAAACAATTTCATGTCATTAATGGATTAGGAGGTAAAATGAAGGCAAACAAAAAATCAACATTAAGTATTAAGACCAATAAATGCATGCACTTAAATAAATAATAAAAAAAACAACTAAGGTTGGAAATGAGGTAAAAGAAACTAAATCATAATAAGTTAATAAATGGTCAATACCAAACATCATAAAACAAATCCCATATTTTTAGCTTTAAAATAGCTTTTAAATATGCATACCGCAGAATCAAGAAGTTCTATTAAAAAAATTTTTCCACAATGAAGAGCAGCTTCCGAATCCTCTTTCTTTAGTTTTCCACCTCTGTTTATAAATTGGGAAAGCTTGTTGAAGAGTACAGCAACAGATACTCGAGCATATGTCTCGGTATTGATAAATACCTTTTAAGCACAATAAAAGAGCAATAAGTAAACAATTGGCATTATAAGTAAGCTCAAATTAACAATGAAATGTTAAACAACATATACATGGAGCCAACACAAAATCATTATTTCAAAGAAAAGAGGTAAAAATCTGTGACAAGGCCAAGAACAGCCACTCCAAAGAATGAGTTGAACTTCGATAAGATATTGAATATCCTCAATTGACCATCATCATAATTACACAACTTATTACAACTATTTGAACATGGATTTAAGAATTTTCAAAGTTAATTTATTCGTCCATGTTGAAGACAGAGAATAGTTCTATGTTATATGATTTTTGGATGACTATCAATCAAGTTGTCTTGACTTGTCTTTTTTCTTACCTACTTATTCACATAATTCTCTCTTCCGGCATTATTGATGCATGTTTTGGTCTCCTAGGACAAAATCATGTAATTCCCTGAACTTGGCTCTAGTATAATATAAATAACCAAGATTCCTTATTAGAGAAGGAAGTCTGTACAGTTTCCGTCTTTCTATAAAAGCTAAGGAGCAAAAGTTATAAAAGGTAACTTTTTTTCTAACTTATGTTAAAAAGCAACCAATAGAAGATGTAGAGTTCAAGTATACTTTTACTTTCTTAATTTATTTTTAGTTTTAAAAATTTAAGAAAAAAGACATGCGTTGATCAACTTTAAAGCATATCCTTGTTCTTTTACAAAAGATGAACGGCAAAAACAAAGGAGATAAAAATCTTTCATTTTACATGATTTTTGACAACTTTATGTAAGTTTCTAGAACATGCAAAAAATGACATTTAGAAAAGAAAATCACTATGGGGAGACAATTTCCTCTTTTGAACATGCAATTGTTGAGTCATGGTCTGTCGCAGGGTTCCACATAGCGTATGTCATACTCTTATCTACCTTGGGGGCCTTTGAAATTTCATTAAATTAAACATTTTGTAGAAGTACCGTGGCATGCATGAAAACACCAAACTTCTAAGAGACTACACTATCAATGCATCTAACCACAAATAATTTTAAAAGGTCCCGGCATTCAAGATCAAAATGTAAAAGAACGAAAAAAACCATTGAATAGGCCTTGTAATAATTTTGAATTTCACTATCATCTTTATTAAGTAAAACACACCACATTCCTCCAATCTTTAGGAAGTATTAGTTAAAAATAAAATTTAATGGAGGCTCAAATCTTGTTAAATATATATATCTAAATGCACCCCATTTAACAAATATGTCGCTTTTTAAAAGTAAAAAGTAATAATTCATTTTACATGATTTTCGACAACTTTATGCAAGTTTCTAGAACATGCAAAAAATTACATTTAGAAAAGAAAATCACTATTGGGAGACAATTTCCTCTTTTGAGCATAAAGATCACAAAAAAACACAACTCCTAAACCATAACATCAAAAACAAAAAAAAATAGCTCTATTAGTTCCTAACATCCAAGATGCATGCCAGAAGGTCTGCGACGGTAAATTAATGAATTATCATCTTAGCGTTACACAAAAACACATCACACACTCAGGTAATTAAAAAGCAGTAAACAGGATGAGACAATTCAATTTTTTGTGGAAAACTCTGAAAAGAGGGAAAAACTACGAGGTCTAGCGAGCTAAAATAATCTACTATGAGTGTTGAGTACACGGGCACACTCTTCACCCGAATTTGAGAAGTTGGAGTTACAAAGTTGATCATTATCAATGAAAAACAATTGTTCATCAATAATAACCATAGTCTAACTGTAATGAATATAGTGCTCGGTGATAGCAACAAAGGTCGTAACCGATTGTTATGGAAGTAGTAGTTCATATCGTGGCTGTAATGTAAGTTTGCTCAAGAGACCGTAGTTGAAGCCATGGTATTAATTGGTCGAGCGGGTCAGATGGTTGCTTCAGGAGCGTCGGTTGGTCATAGGGGCAGTAGTAGGAAAGTGCATAAGCTGTGAGCCACGTATGTCGTAGTTTGTCACTTAGGCTATAATGGTGATCTGTGATGTAGGCCGTAGAGGCAGAAGTCAGGTGCTGCAAGAGCTGTGGGCGACACAGACCGTAGTTGGTAATGTAAGCTATAATGGTGAGTTGTATCGACATCCGTAGGCCACAGGGGCTAAGACGAGCTACACAAGTTGCGGATCACGTAGACCATCGTTAGTTATATAGGTCTTAGCAATGAGCTGTGGTGACGTATGCAGGCCATAGAAACTAAAGTTGAGAGTCGCACGAGCTGCGGACCACATAGATTATAGTTCATCATGTAGGCCGAGTGGTGAGCCGTGAAAACATCAGAAGACCGCAGGGGCCAAAGTCAGAAGCTGCACAAGTTGTGAGCAATGTAGGCCAGAGTTGGTCATGAACGCCTTAGTGATAAGTTGTGATGATGCCCGTAAGCCGCAAAGGCCAGAGTCGAGAGCTGCAGAAACTGTGCACAACGTAGGACGTAGTGTTGAGCTGTAATAATACCTGTAGGCCGCCAGGGCTACAGTCGAGAGCTGCATAAGCTGTAAGTCATGTACGTGAGTTGTGATGACTTTTGTAGACCACTGAGGCTAGAGTCGAAAGTTGCATGAGATGTGGACTTTGTAGGTCGTAGTTGATTATATAGGTTGTTGTGGTGAGTTATTATGATGTTTATAGGCTGCAGAGGCCGAAATCAAGAGCTACAGGAGCTGTGGATCAATTAAGTCGTAGTTTAGGCCATAGCGGTGAGCCGTGATGATGTTTGTAGTCTGCAATCCGGAGTCGAGTGCTGCACAAGTTGTGTACCACGTAGACAGTAGTTGGTCCTGTAGGACATAAAGGTGAGTTATGACGACGTTCATAAGCCATAGCGGCTGGCGTCGAGAGTTGCATGAGCAGTGACCCAAGTAGACTGTGGTTTGGTTACATAGGTCATGGTGGGGAGTTGTAATGACATATGTAGACCACAGAGACTGGAGTTTAGAGCTGCATTAGGTGTGAAACACGTAAGTTGTAATTGGTCACATAGGTCATAGTGGACAGCTGTGATGATGTACGTAGGCCAGAGAGGCCAGAATTAGGAGTCACACAATAGTAGAATACAAATGCAGTAGTTATTCACAAAGATCGTAGTGGTAAGCTGTGATGAAGTCTAGAGGACACAAAGGCTGGAGTCGAAAAAGACACAAGTAGATGGTCATATAGGCCGTATCGGAGTTGTGATGACATTCGTAGGCCGCAGAAGCCGGAGTCGAAAGCTCAAAGAGACAGCTTTAGGAGGTCGAAGAAAGTTATTGTCTTCGGGAGGAGTCGTTGCATTGTATGTGTGTTTAGGGTGCGTCGTTGCACTGTATTCAAGATGCGTTGTTACATTGTCTTTAGATGGCGTCATCGTTTCGTATTCGAGGTGCATTGACATACCATCTTCAGGAGATGTAGTCACACAATATGTAAATTGCGTTATTACAACATCATCACGGTGTGTCATTGCACCGTATTCGAGGTGTGTTATATCGCACTAGAATGCGACTTTGCAATGTATGTGGGGTGCATTATTACACTGCATCAGGGTGGGTAGTTGCACTATATTAGGGATGCATTGTTAAACCGTCTTCGGAAGACTTCGTCGCACTATGTGGGGTGCGTTGGTACGTCTTCATAGCGTCTCATTGCACCATATTCGAGGTGCATTGTTACACAGTGTACTGAACAACGTATTGCTCCACGGGTGCTTCACTATTCCACAACATACATTGGGATTTCACAAGACACATTATGACTCCACAAGGAACTTTGCTACAAGGAGCATGTGGCAGTCAATGATGGTCGATGGTGACTGCAAGAGAGGGAAGAATCCAACAGATCTTCGGTGCAGAAACGATGCTAAGCTTTAGCTCCTCCAACCTCCAGTCTTTATTTTAACTTAAGGTCTAACCTCTTTCAAGAGGATGCTATTTTTATAAAGTCCATGTTGCAAATAAAAAAAAGAATCTGAAAGGCTCTGACCGAACAACCTGAGGAAGTTCTCTTGATTATAGTGTTTCACCGACATTTAAGTACCTTGATGATGTTAGAATTGAGTAATCTTAGGCTCGTTGGATTCATCTTGTCGAGATACTCGATTGATTATAAGCATACCATATTTGAAATCCGTTTGACATTTCAATTATGAGTGAAAAGCTTCCAAAAGCGATTTAACGGCTTGATCTAGGTTTGACTTGACTCGGATTGGAAAAATTTTTAGATTGTTAGGTCCATTTAGTCGAGCCGACCAGTTTGACTGTAAGTTTGCTTAAATCTAACTTCTGGATGATTTTTAATTACATTTTGAATAGTTCTTGCCCAAAAAATTATCTCAAGATTCAGGTTAATGATAAAAATTTGTTGATGACGTATCAATCCAAATACTTAGTTCCTCACAGTTTTCCTCCGAAGAAATCTAACCCTTACAAAACCAAAAGGCCTTAGATCTAAATATGCTTAAAAATCCTAATAATCATTCTTTTCTTGCCTACATAAAACTTCCACTAATATCCCAAAAGATCACCAATCAAGTTGTTGCCTTCAAGTAAAGTTCCCCTACACCCTACATCAAGGCATACCCAATATGATATGGTTGCCAATCACGTAAAAACCAAGATGCAACCATATATGTAAACGCTTGAATGAAGTGAGATCCTTGAAAACGTAGTCTTGTCAATTGGTAGATTTATTTAATTATAAAGTATGTTTTTAAAACAAAAAATATAATCAATAAATCATAATTTGTGACAAAAAATATTAGGAAATTTTAGCCTCAATCACATTTCAATTTAAAAAATTTTGCAAAATAGTATTTCATTAAACTAGTTAAGTTTCTAACACCTTCAAATTGGAGATACAAAAATTTTCATTGTTATTTATTTTATCTCCATTATCCATGCTCTTTTCAATTAGTTAGCCCTTCACAAGTAGCTATGTGTATCTCCATGAGGGCAACACTCGCCCCTCATGGGCACGATCAACACTTCCTCCCATTTTAGCCCATATGGCCTTATTTGTGTTTCTAGTGCAACACTTGTATTACATTCTCCTGCAAGGCATTGCGCGTAGTTTCCTTTAGTGAGTAGAGATTTGCAATTTGGTGCCAACCCAAAAGTTAAAGGCTTTCTTCGGCACGGGCAACTCATGGCATTAGTGTCTTATTCGCTCTCGAAACCTTTGATGCTTGATGCGGCCCACATTTTATCGTCATCTTTAATTTACTCTTCAACTGTGAATCTATTACAATTTTTCACACATTCCTCTCACCTGTTAACATAGCTACCTCTTATTTAAGTAGCCCCTAAATTATTAAGATCCTCCCCTTCTATTCTCTCAAGTGATCTATACTTCCTACAACACAATCACCTTGCTCGTCTACAAATGTGGCTACTAGTTTGAATGTAGCGAACTCTCACTCCTCTCCATCCAACAACTTTTCGATATTTTTTCTAAGATTCAGCAAAACAACAACAAAAACATCCTTCCTCTTATCAAGGCAAACCAACTCTCTTTTCCACTGATGGAGAGATCTATACACTTGTTACACTACTCTCCCTCTAAATTACTAGTTAATTTTTTAGGGGTTGTCCCGGCTGGGAGTTAATTCACATATTCATGCCAGATTATATCTAACAGAAGACTACTCCATTGGGCTCATCGATGCTCATGATATCTAGATTTATTTTTTAGAAAATAGTCTATACCAAACTTTGCACACAACGCTTATATCATATAACTTGCCTCTTAATGAGAATGCAAAAAAGGTCAACAATTTTAATGTCTGTTGAATAGCCTTTCACTCTGTTTAGATCTCATTTCTATGAGCTTGCTTGAATTAATTTAACCAGTCCACTTGATTTTTCTTATATTTACAAAATCATTGCAGGTGGATAGTTGACAAAGAATCTTCATCAATATTTTCCATGAGAGTTAGAGGCCAAAAATTTAATTTTTCACATTTTTCTCAGCAACTGGATTTTGATTTTAAGTTGTAAGTTTAAAAGGGCTGAATGAGAAAAAAATCTTTTTGAAGGAAAAGTGTAATTGAAATTAATTTAGTTAGTTGTGAATTATTATTATTATTTTTTTTTTTTGTGTAAGTTGTGAATTGTTAATTTAGAAATCAGTAAATATAAAAAAAAAATTGATGATTTATTAGGTTTAGAAAATAACAAAACAACATGAAAATATAAATAAGAGGATTCATTCTAAGGAGCATCCTGTAGTTGTGAGAATTTTGAACTTTATTATAGAGAGAAATATTCCTAAGCGTAATGCTTGTAGACTCTTCATGTTGAGCATGCCATTAGCATTTGATGTTACCAGTAAAACTACAAGGCCACTTATTCAAATAATTTCATGATATTTCTATTTGACTCGAGTCTTAAAAATCTTTACAAAAATCAAGTAGTGTAAGATGTATTGACAAATGATGATGACTTGCCCAAAGAGAAATACAAATTCGGATGAGATGAGCCTCAATATAAAACAAAAGGGGCTTTTGGGTCTTGATAATTGTTAGGTTGGGGTAGTAAAAAATTTATCAAAAGACTATTATTATTATTTTTTTTTGAGTAAGTTGTGAATTGTTAATTTAGAAATCAGTAAATATAAAAAAAAATTTGATGATTTATTAGGTTTAGAAAATAACAAAGCAACATGAAAATATAAATAAGAGGATTCATTCTAAGGAGCATCCTGTAGTTGTGAGAATTTTGAACTTTATTATAGAGAGAAATATTCCTAAGCGTAATGCTTGTAGACTCTTCATGTTGAGCATGCCATTAGCATTTGATGTTACCAGTAAAACTACAAGGCCACTTATTCAAATAATTTCATGATATTTCTATTTGACTCGAGTCTTAAAAATCTTTACAAAAATCAAGTAGTGTAAGATGTATTGACAAATGATGATGACTTGCCCAAAGAGAAATACAAATTCGGATGAGATGAGCCTCAATATAAAACAAAAGGGGCTTTTGGGTCTTGATAATTGTTAGGTTGGGGTAGTAAAAACTTTAACAAAAGACCATTGATCCAATTAATATTAATAATTATGATGGGCTGATCAACTATGTGAAGATCAAATGCCATAAATGTGCCAGGCCTATACAAACATTATCCGTTAATTCTAAGATTATGAAGAATAAGAAAGAGAAAAGATGGAAATAAAACAAAAAAATTAATACTACCAATTAAATTATTTGACTCTTGAACTTTCATGTTTTTACAGACAATTATCCTTACTACCTATGATTGAGTCATATCATGTTCGAATTTAAAGCATATTATATTGAGCAAGCTGTATCTATAAATATTAAAATTCATGATAGTAATTTAAACTTTGCACTCTTTTATATTAATGATTATGATAGATATATCAGAAAGTTTCAAAGTATGACATTTTTTGTGGCAATCTAGAAAAAATAATATTCTACTCACATGATCTTAACTATGAAGTCAAAACAAGTGTTAGTAGGAATTGTGAATGAATGAATTTTTTACCTCTATCATGTCTTATGTTTAACTGGGAGGGTTCAAAATGGGGCCTGACACTTCTAAATATACGGGTTAATGTTCCTGCACTTACTGGCCCTTTGGTGGTTATTTCATCATTCATTAATAATATCACTGGAAATAAATCTCATGTTCTTGAACACCTCAGCTCCATCCAATTTACAAACACAGTGATAATGATATATATTTATAGCTACTTGATTAAGATGGGAGTATTCAAACCGTAAATTCTATGAAAGATAGGATATTCATATTTTCTAAATGAAAAGGGGAAAATAAGAAAATAAGAAGCACGCAACTATTTTCGCAAGGCTGCAAGCTTCCGTTAATTCTAGTTTTGTTAACTTACTAGCCTTTTGGTGGCACATCCACGATAACATCACTGAAAACAAACCTCACGTTCTTGAAGCACCTCAGCTCCATCCTATATTTGAATGCAATGATGATAATATATCTTAATAACTAATTGATTTAGATGAAAATATACAAATTGACAAACCTATGAAAGATAGAAGATTTAAATTTTATTTACCAAAAGAGGCAAAAATAAGAAGAAAATATATAGGCAGTCACTTGTATCCACAAGGCTTCAAGCTAAAAAGTCCAACTGAATAGTTTTGTGATTTTCACAATCAATAGAATGCTTCATCCTTGGTCTTTTTATTATTTTTGGGTTATTATATTTTTCCTTTTTCCATGGCAATTCCCGATAATTACCCATCTCTACTCTTCATCCTTTTTAATGGACACATTTTCTTCCTATTCAAAATCTACTACTTTAGAACTCTATGTTTTAAAAGCTATAATTAAACAACTTATTTCCAAGGGCATACACTCCAACTCTTGATACACTTCTCACACCAAGTCATCACCAAATAAAAATTAACTCAACTTTCGAATTCAAACTATTAACACTCACCTCTAGAATAAAGGTAAGGTGCTTGCATCATTATACTGCATGACATATCAAGAGGCTCCCTCGGTATATACGAGTAATGACACCAACCTGAGAAGGAGGTTTGGTTAAAAATAAAATTGAACCGAACTGATATATTTCATTGATTTGTTTTGATTAATAAAATCCAATTCAATTTTTGGTTCCAGACTAAGGTTTACTTGGAAAAAAATGAATCAAACAAAGAAATCTGAATTATATTGTGATTAAATTAAATCTGTAAATCGATTGCTTATAAAAATCTATCAACCGATTATCCAAATTGCCTGAATGGACATGTTTTCACAAGAATTTCAAAATTCGGTTATACCAAAACCGAACTGAAAAAACCAAACTATATTTTGCTTCACTTTAAGTTCAATTCTCCATCTAATTTGGTTTTATCTATAAGTTGATTCGGCTTAGCTGGTCAAACAAATTTATCAACCCATGCAACCAAACCGACTGCTTGCACACTCCTAAACTTGGGAGGCACTCACTGCACCTCTCCCGAGTGCTTGGTATATCACCTGGCTTGTCTTAACAAGATTGGATCAAACAAACTAGGTGAGACTACATTATCTAAAATTGCCAAATGGAAACGTATTGATCACAATACTCTTACCCAAATGAAAAATATAATTTAAACTGGTTGAATAAAGTGGAGTTTAATCAATGTCCATGAATACCATAATTCTAATTAAACCAACTGTCTTAGTGCAAGATCAAACAGAAAATCTAGTGGTCAAGTCTGGAAATTTTCATGACCCGTGAGGATGATAAATAAACTAATTCCCATATAATTTAGACTGGCTGAATAAAGTGAAGTTTATTCAATGTCCATGAATACCATAATTCTAATCAAACCGTCTTAGTGTAAGATCAAACAGAAAATTTAGTGCTAAGTCTGGAAATTTCATGGCCCGTGAGGATGATAAATAAACTAATTCCCATAAAAAATTTAATAAATTAAATGGCAACAAAAGAAATGACAGAACTGTTTGGCTTACTTTGGTCAACTCAGGATCAGGACTTTGAGCTAACAATGAAACCTCCATTTTGGCTTCGTTATTTTCACTTAATTCAGCTTCAAAATCCTCATCAAACGCCACTTTTCAGAAACAGTGGTAGATTAGTGGTACAAAAAAAATTTTGACACAAAAAGAAAAAAAAGCATGACCAAATATTTGCTTCATATATTGCCAAAGAAACATAAAAAAGACGCGCACCGGAGCCATATAGTGACATCAATTTCAATTCTTTAATATAATATTTGAGTGTTTTTGGGTGTAAAAGCCATAACCCTGTCAGATGCAAAGCAGAAAGACGCATAGTGCGAGGACTCTTGGTGCCTTCATCAATTAGATTTTCAATGAACTGAAAAACGAAAAATGGAAAATTAATCAGCAAAATAAATTTAAACTGAGAACCTACTGACACATCACCAAATAATGATGAAGCGTTTTTTTAAATGCATATTAATAGTGAAGCGTAAATGTAAGGAAAACCTCATCTGCTATTGTAATGGAAACTCTAAAAAATTGAAAAAAAAAATGTTGGTTTCCTCGAAAATACGCCAAACCTATTCAGTTAAAATGCAAAAGGAATCATACATTGGTAGTATTAATATCTGGCACACAACTACAGACAAACACAATTCTGGAAAATAAAGAAACAAGGAACAAAACAATATTTTAATTCCTTCAACATCAGCTGCTAGGTCAATAAGAAAACATTAACAACTTGCAACTTGAAAAATTTTAACGTCTACAAAATGAAAAATTTAAGGATTATGTTTCATGAATTTCTGAAATTATTAACCAGCTATCAAGCAGAATGAAAGCTCGTAAACAAAATATAAGCCCACTTAAACCCATTAGTTCAACAATAATGCTGTACATATCATTAACTCATACCTTTTTTTCTTCGTTGTATAAATCTCTAAAAATTACAAATTTGAGAAAAAAGATTAAAATAACTTGACAACTAGTCCCTGAACTTCTCAATCTTAATTCCTCAAATCTGATAAAAAAATAATCTAACAAAGCAACCTATTTGGATCATATCAAAGGAATCAACAGACTAAATTGAGCTAAAATACCCTTATATAAATAGTTCATGGGCCATTTTGACCTTTCCTTAAGGGGCTGTTTGGCATGAATTTTGGTTTTCCGATTTTTTACTTCTGAAAAAAAAAAAAAAAAACAGAAAATTAACAGAAACACACTGTCTGTTTGGTTGTTTTTTAATTTTGTTTTTAAACACAAGCCTCCTGTTTTTAAACCAACAAAAACATGTGAAATGACTTTTCTATGTTTCGAAACCATATTTTTTCATGCTCAGCCCTAAACCAAGCAATTCCAGATCTCATTCTTCTCCTTTTGCCTTCTCTCCTTCAGCCCGACTCCAGTTGCCGCTCCTTTGGCTTGGCTCCCATCACCACTCCTTCGGCCCGGCTCCTCTCGCAGTTCCTTCAATCGGCCATTCCTTCGGTCGGCAAAAACATTCGAAAAATCAAATTTGCATTTTTCTTACATCTTTGAATCCCTTCTTTGCCATTGGCATCCATGGACATCTCTTCCATCGCCGCCAAGCTCAGCTATACCAACTCAAAGACTTTAATCCGCAACGTAGAGGAGCCCCACCCCGTCTATCCGATATTCAGTTCAATTCTTCCATCATCAGAATGGTAAACGACTCACTTTAGCATTTCAACCTAACAATTTGTGTGCTATAATTGTTATTTTACTTGATATAAATAGGCTGAGGTCGTGAAAGCAATTTTGTTTGAAAATGGGCTAAAATTGTTTTATAGGTTGCAGGTGATCTTTGATCCGTCCAGTTTTTACAATGGCAGCCTTCTATGTTTGTGCTAAGAAACACAAATATAATTTATTTTTTAATAGAAAATATATAATCAAACATATCTTTTTATTTATTATTTTTAAAAATAAAAAATTATTACAATGCCAAACATATTTTTTTAAAACCATAAAACAAAAACAAAACAAATAAAAAAAAACAAAAACAAAAAACAAAGGATGATGTGTGTGTGTGTGTGTGTGTGAGAGAGAGAGAGTGACCTTGTGTGTGAGAGTGTGTGTGAGAGAGAGAGAGAGTGAGAGAGGTTATTTGTGTGCGTGTGTCCATGTCTATGAGAAAGAACGATCAGTGAGAGAGAGAGAGAGAGAGAGAGAGAGGGGGGGGGAGAGAGGGAGTGAGGAGATAAAAAGAGAGAGAATGAACTTCTACATCAATGATGGATTTGTCAAATTAAGTACAGAAGATGAATATAGATATAGTTCACATGGTAAGCAACCGACCCATTTCAAGGGCCCCTTCTTGTCACCATTCATTTCATGCATGGCCAGGTCACAAAAGACTGATTCATGCAACACTGCAGAAAGAAGTGCAGCAGTAGGCGCCACCCTCCGCTTGTTGAGACTAAGATTTAGAATCCAACAAGATCTGACCAATTGTAACATCCTCTACAAAAAAATAAAAGAGAATTAAGCGTAAAATTAAAAGGTCAATATGAGAAGAGTGTGCATACATATAATTTGCATGAGTAAAGAAATTACATAGAAATGTAATAATGAAGTTTAATAACAATGCCCATTAAAACGTAATATTGAATAGAGGGGTAAAAGAAAGAGAGAGGTACAAAAAACGAATAGAGAGAATTGAGCCAGAGGCATAGAGTGTTTCATAGAAGATTTCAAAATATAATTCAACAATCAATGTCTTAACCATGACCCATCGATCTTTATGTATACAATGAAAGGGCACCGTGTTTACACCCATCGATCTTTATTGATTTTTAATTTTACACAACCTAGAGCAGTAGAAATATGAATCCTGATTTAAGAAGCCAAAAATTCAACAGATATGAATCTCTGGTGATGCCGTTATCTGTATAATACTGGGTTCTAGAACAAATTGGTGCATTTTGAAGCGCATAGCGCACTAATTGCCCTACATAAATAAATAGCAAGTATTAAATAGCTAATTGTTCCATCCCCCATCTTCCTTAGAAGGGATGGCCATGCGTTTTGGCCTAAGGGAAGGGTTTGGCGCAGCCCAATCTAGCCAGAGAATAACTAAGGTCCTCTAAAGCTTAGTTTGTCTATTGATCAAGTGTATTGTACATCTACCTAATTGACTCAACTATTACCATTACCATTTATTGAAAGTCAGAATAATGCAGGATATTTTTATTGATATGAAAGGTTGCATAAATTCTAGAATAAAAAAATAACAAAAAGAAATAACAATTCATATTAATTATTTGGAGATAAAGGAAACGTTATAAAATAGGAAAGCCTAAAACAAGAAAGGAAATAAATCTAATTCAAGAAAATAAATATAAAATAGGAAAAAAATAAAATTATATTATAAACTAAATTTAATCCTCATAACTTCTAACATGAATAAATTATTTTCTAATATAACTTTTAAAACTGCCGCTCAAGTTGAAACATTCAACTTGGATTTGAAAACATCAAACAATGGGCGACGAAGATCTTGTGAAATAGAACTTGAAGTCTTCATCCAGTACTGCGGTTGCTTTGACTACAGTTTCTGCAGTGTTTGAAAGTAGGCTACATGCTCCCACAGATAATGTCGTAGGCGAGTTTGCAAGGAAGTAGACAACCTGCAAGAAAAGATAACTTATAATCGATTGTGGTTGTCTTTGACTATAGTTCCTGCAATGTTTGTAGGTAGGCATAAGGATCCTACAGGTAACGCTACAGGGGAGTTTGCATGGAAGAAAACAATATGCAGGAAAAACTAACTTCTCGTTGAATACATTTATTTTTTACTACAGTTTCTGCAATGCTTCTAGATAGGAGGAAGACCCCTACAAGTAATGCAGAAGAGTTTGCAAAGAAGTAGACAACCAACAAGAAAAGATGCAGGGCATGACATATAGCAAAAAAAAAAGAAAAAAAGAAAAAAAAAAACCCTAAAGGTAGGCCTTGCTGCAGAAAAAAGCTTCGGAGAAGGGCCTGCTGCATAAAGAATTCCAGTGGAGGTCCTGCCCAGAAAAAGCTCTGGAGGGTCTGATACAAGAAAAAATTCCTGAAGAGGACCTGATGCAGGAAAAGGCTTTGAATGAGGGCCTACTGCAAGAAGAATTGCAGTGGAGGACTTGCTGCAGAAAAAGCTTTTGAGGAGGACCTGATACAGGAAAAGACTCCGGATGAGGGCTTGATGCAGCAAAAAGCTTCAAAATAGGGTCTGTAGGGCTAAAAATGAGGGTCTGATACAGAGAAAATCTCTGGAGAAGGCTTGCAGCAGGAAAAGATCCGAAGGAGGGTCGACTCCAAGAAAAAAGTTCCAAAGGAGAGTTTGCTTCAGAAAAAAGTTTTGAAGGGCCTATTGCGGGGAAAAGCTTCGAAGGGTCTGTTGCAAAAAAAAGGCTCCGGAGAAGGATCTGTTGAGGGAAACGCTCTGGACAATTGTTCAATATGGTGATAATGGCAGCATTGGCTATTGTCTGACAGCAATAGAGGATTGATTGGAGTTGTCAGCAACCCTCGAAGATTGCTACCAATCCGACATCTGATACGGAACCCCCAGAATCCTATGTGTCTTCTAAAGGAAACATTTTAAGCTTCATGAGGTGAATTAGATGATCCTAGTCAAATTTGTTCATGGCGAGATCACGCTGAATCTGATCTTCAGAAACTTGTGGATCATAGATGTTGATCAATGTCTTATCATCGAGCAAGCCCTCACACACATTGATTGTCGACGTCTCCCGCATGTCACTGGTGTCCTTCTTGAAAGCAAAACCGACCACAATAATCTTCTTTCCATAAATGGTGTTAAACATCGATGAGACAACCCAATTCACGAAACGACTCTTCTAGTAATCATTGATCTTTATGACCTGCTTCCAGTAGTTGGCAACCTCAGAAAAACCATTGCACTTGTAGATGTACACAAGTTTCAGGATATCCTTCTGGGCGTCAAATCCAACACTGGCATTAAGAAATTTTGGACCGATCCTCGAGCCCTTCCAGATTGCATAGACCACCTATGTAACATTGGCACCAATGATCTAGCACAACACAAAAATGGCATTAACTGAAAAAAAAAATCTCTGAGCTAAGAAAGCATTGGATGCAAGCTTTGACAACTCTGTCAATCACAGATTCGTGGTAAGAACACGGTCCCCTGGCACCCACTGGGTGTAAACATCCGTTAATTCCTGCACAGCCTTTTGGCCCTCAGGGGTCTCCCGACCACCAATAAGCATGTGATTGGGATTGAAAAGATCTTCTATTGTTGTACCTTCAACAAGAAAATATGGGATCGATAGGATATGATAGTTAATTCCCTTGTTGTTGTGGGTCAAGATCTTCTCAATGGCCTTAGCAGTCTTGACAAGGACTATAGATTTCTCAAAAACAATCTTATTGGATTTGGAGACATCAGCTATCATGAAGGTTGCACTCTCCCAATAAGTAGGATCAGCAGCCTTGCCAGCTCCAAGACGAAGGGTTTGTGAGTGTGTTCACAGAGACAAAGATGATAACATCCTCACAAACGTGCTTTTCTACTTTAGTGCTAAAGGAAAGGTTTCTTCCCTTGCACTGCTTCATGACATCATCAAGGCCCAGCTCATAGATAGGAAGTTGACCATTGTTTCATTCCTTAATGCAAGCAACAGAGATGTCTACAACAACCACCTCAAGGGTTGGGCGCTTAACAGCAAAGATAGCCATGGTTGGACCCACCCCCCCCCCCCCCCCCCCCCTTCCTTCTCAGTGTGATCGCAGCCTCTCTTCACCCAATGATAAAAGAAGAGAGACAAGCTTTTGTAGTGAAATTTTCATTGATGGGAAGGGGGGAGAAGGATGTCTGCTGCAGGGAATAGAAAGTTTCCCACAAAAAAAATGAAAAGATGAGGCGTAGGAAAGGTTTCGATTACAGAGAATAGAAAGTTTCCGAAGCTGCAAGACTATAGGGTTTGTTTCAAGACTTTGATACCATGTTGAAATTCAAAATATTGCGGAATATTTTTATTGATATGAAATGAGGTATAAATATCACTTACATTAATCCTAAAATATAAAAGATAATAAAAAGAAATAACAGGAAACGAAAGATATAACACCTAATATCTCTAATTAATAAATTCATATTAATTATTTGGAGGTAAAGAAAACAATATAAAATAGGAAAGTCTAAAATAAGAAAGGACATAAATCCAATCCAAGAAAATAAATTTAAAAAAGGAAAGAAAATAAAGTTAAATTAAGAAATAAATCTAATCCCCATAACTTCTAACATAAAAAAATTATTTCCTAATATAACTCCTAGTATCTTTCTTCTAACAAAAAATCTTATGCATCAACATTACATACAAAAAATAGGATTGGGTTAATAGCCTTTGGATTTTCTTTAAGGTTAAAATATTTAAAGAACATGATTATAATATATTTGAAGCTTTCTACGTATGTCAGTATTATATAAAAAATACATAATTGTGCATTTAGAGGGTTTTAAGTATAAAATACAAATATACTGCTTTAAAATCAAATTAAATATATATATATTTTTTCATATAGAACAAAAATACTAAAATAATTAACTTCAATGTTCGTAAGTCAAGTTTGGTTTTGACCCAAAATTAACCACACCAAAAATTGCTTGACCCGAACTCGACTCAAATTTGACCCAAAAATTAAACGAGTCAGAAAGTTCACGCCTAAGTTGACCTGCCTTCAACCCTTTAACATAAAAGATATCAAAGGTATTTGGGCAGATATTGGGTCAAATTCATGTCGATATTGGGCCAATCCAAATTAAATTTCAGGTTAGTGAGTCAATTTTGGGTTGGCAGATCTACCCGATCGTGACTCCAAAAACTAAACGAGCCAAGACTCCTACCTGAAAATTATTTAGGTCAACTTGACTCTGAATTTTTTCGAGTCAAGTTTGGGTTGAGTTGAAAAATCGTGTCAATTTTTTACACGCCTAGTGATATGTTTGGTGTTACCTTTAAATTGAGATGATTTGGCTCAATATTTATACTCTAAGGATTCCTTTAGTTATGCAACAACATTCCAACAAAAAAAGTTATACGCATCAACACGTTCAATTAAAAGGAGACATTCTAGCACTATAAGTCATAGCCGGTGAGAAAGTCATTTTAAGCAAAACTATGTTAGTAGCTTTTTGCCATAAATCTTTACCATGTTTAGTAGTCCCACAATATATTTTCTTGCATTGCCAAGAATGAGTGATTTTATTGCAAAATTCTTAGCATTTTCTTGAATAGTTACCAACCTAAAATATCATTTAATCCAAAAAATGCAAATTAATTTTGTAATGTCAATGAGAATGTAATAATATTTTATTAGATGTCGTATTGTATAAAATTTTTTCATTTGATGTTTACGCATTTGACGTAATTAAGTTTAAGCGGCCAAGAGAGAATTGTATGAACCCCAATGCCCCAAAAGAGAAAAAAAGGGAAAAAGAAAAGTAGAAAAATGACAGAATAAATAATGTATACCAACGTTATGTCAATTCAAAAATTAGAATAAAGGTAAAAGTTACCTGAGAATTTACTCCATGACAAGAAACAATTGAACCAACTTTACCGGAGCATAAAAGACCTAAAACCAACCTCAACGATCTCAACATGGACAAAACAGAATTTTCACCGCCAGTTTCAAGGCTGCAATATGAAACAAGAACAAGTGCAAGTTTTTAAATAATCTGTTAAATTTGAACAACTCAACCAACAAGTAAAATTATACATTTGGGTCGTCTCAGCCTGTGAGAGAAGAAATAAATCCTAGAATTGAATAGAAGAACCCCTTCTTTATAATAAAGAGTTGAATACAAAGTTTAGAGCAACAAGAAATAAACATAATCCACCTATTATAAATAAAAAAATTTCCAATAAAATGCTAGCACTAACACTTCTCATCAAACTAGAGCATATTAGTGAGCTCTAGATAGTTGTATTAGAAAATTGAAGTGGACCAAAAGACTACAAATACACATCAGGGGATCTGAGCTAGAAAGAGATGTAGGAATTGTGAAACCTCTCAAGTAAAATGAATCGGAACTATTAGACACTGAGACTACTTTTTATTGTACTATTGGAATTTCATCAAAAACTCCAAAATTAAGCATGCTCGTGCGTCTGGGATGGATGACCTCCTAGGAAGTTACGTCAAGGGGACAAAAGCGTTAAGCCATTAAGCCAAACAGACAATTTTTTGATGGATGGGAGTTCATGCTATTATGGAGGGTACCAAAGCATACATTTTGAATTCAATGTATCTGGTCTTCATAGGATTCAATAGAGAATAGGTTAACTAATACTAGTTAGCTAATTATTTAGTCTTTTGATTTTGTGTAAATTTTAATTGTTAAGAATGACACCAAAGAGAATAAACATTGCAGTCTCTCGCACAACCAAAGGCCCGAGAGCTACTACAGAAGCTATACCTGTCCCTAAAGATCCTCAATCTCCTAATCTCCATCGTGTTGATCCTTGCTCAACCCATAGAGATTATTGGAGCCCCAACTCTCAGTATGACTACGTTTTTGGAGAAATTAACACAAAACATCACCCAGGCTTTATAAATCAACATTGCAGCTCAAATTGCCCAAATAGTTCAGGCTATGAAACAACCTGCGCAACCAACACCGCAAGCACCTCAATAGGTAACACAAGTTGCTATCATAGGAACTCAAACTAACCAAACAGTGGTGTTGTCAATGGGAGTACAATGGATAAAGTAACGAATCACTTTTTGAAGACACTCCTATCTTCAACGACACGGTAGGCTCGATAGAGTCAAATGTGTGGCTTCATGATATCAAGAAGAGGTTTCGATATATAAAATGTCTTGAAGATTGCAAGATGGACATTGCTACATTTAAGTTGTGAATGAGCTAATGATTAGGGGGACAGTCACTGCCGCAATACTTCTTACAAGACTCAATAATCACTATGGCAGATAAATTTCAAATGGTTAGTAGATAAAGAGGATGATTATATTGTGGCTCAAAAATTATTAATTTTTATTTGCTCAAAGTTGGCTAGTGTTTCATCAGTGTTTGGCTCAAATTCTAACAAGTGGAGCATGAACATGTTCACAAACAATTTCAAACATGAGCTGATGAGCCAAGCGCAAGCACAATATACTTTAAATGAATAAGATGGAAACACATAATTAATTCACTCAAGCTCGGATCGTTTGCACTGTTGTTTACAGCATATTAATTTGATAGAGAAGCTCCTTTTTAAAAGCATGCTACTTACTATTTTAGATTTCCAGGAAGATAAATTCAATAAATTTACTTTAAATATAACAATTTAAAAAAAAATCTTCAAAACCTTTTGCTTTAATTCAGTTGCTCTAAAGGCAATCCATAACTGTCATGGTAGTTACCGATAATAGAAGTAGAGAAAGCAAAGAGTAGTGGCATTGAACCACTTACGTGAAATATTACCAAGTGAAAGCATGAATAAAAATTGAACAGAAAAAATAAAGGGGCATTTACATACATGCCACCAAATTATTATGCATTTACATATCTAACAACTAAATGTTACTTTTTACATTTATACTACCCAAATCTTTCATATCATATCAAAATTACCACCATTTAAACTTTTAAAAACTGAAATACACCTTTTCATGCATAGGCAAGGTGGTATGTATGTTAAAAATTGAAGTTTTGGTGTTAGATATGCAAATACATAGGAATTGAGTGGTCTGTATGTTAATCTTCCAAAAAGAAAATCTCCATATGGTTATCAGAATTATTACAATTACCTCTCACATATATCAGCCAAAGCATGTAGTAGGGTTGAATCTGAAAAGAAAGGACACCCATCCTCTATATGGATTCCTTTTTCAAAAAAGTTGCGAGGAATGGACAGAAGAGAGTCCAGACAATTCCACTGTGCAAAATAATGGATACGTCATCTTTGTTTTGTCAGATTATCAAGAGAACTATAAAATTACACCATGCAAATGGAAAAAAATTAAGTTACAAAGATTTATAAATAATACGATATTAGGCATTCAACACCTTCCAATCCATCAAAATAGCTTGTCGGCTCCGAGTCAAAAGACCATGAGAAAGTAATTCATTTATACCACTGAGAAAGCTAAGAATTAGGTGATCTAAGAGTGGTTTTCTTTCTCCATTTGGAAGCTCAGACGCATTATAATCCATCAAAAAGGAGAAGTCTGATAGACCAAAGCTGGCAGACAATGTCTTCAGGACATAAGTTAATGCTTCATATGTTGCTAAACAAAGCTCTGATCCAGTCTGTGGTTTAAAAACATGTTTTTGCAATCAGCTGCGTTGATGAAAAAATAATCAAGATAAAAAGGGGGCCATTTGGGATCACTTCGTATTTTTTTATTTCTTTTAATTTGCTTTATTTTAATTTACCCTTTAGCTGAAAACAAAATATGTTTAATTGCATTATACTTTATTGTTTTCAAAAGACTAGATAAAAAAAAACATAACCATATTAAGAACATCTGCACTTTAACGTATAAAATTAAGAAGTTAAGGTGGATGAAAACATTGCAAGTTCGTTTTCATACCCATTTTCTTGGTTGGCCTCTTTGCTAAAGTTTCATTGATTCTGACAGTTTATGTAGTTATGGCGTGCACTTTAGATTTTAATTTTTTTTTGTTTTATATACATACACATAGACATGCATATTATATATACATAAAACCTATACCTATTATTTATAACTTGGTAATTCGCTAGGCAGTTGCCTGCCATAGCTAATTTTCAAAGACCTAAGTTCAAAATCTGGTGGGGTAGAAAGAAACAACAAATCTGTTTTGCAAATTACAAAACACCTAAAATATGTTCTCAGAAATTCAAAAATTGATTTATTTCTAAAAAAAATCTTAACACACTTATTTTAATATCTATTTAAATAGTTTTCTAAAAAAAAACCAATGGCCCCAATAAGCATTCAAACAGACTTCAGGGAAACATGCCTCTGATTTGCAAGGTAGAAACCGAACAGCTTTCCAAACAAACTCCCAAGAGAATGTACGTGATAGATCCCAGGTATCGTCTTTTATCAGAGGAAACACAGATGCTATACTAGCAATGGTCCTCATAGCCACAATCTGATTAAAAAGACAATAGAAACAAATAAAATGACTAAGAAAAATGGGATGCACCCAGAAAAAAGGACATCAGGCGATATTTATAGGAAGTATTGCTGTACTCCCAAATAAAATTACTTTAAGAAAATCATTTGAGATCCACTGTTCTAGATGACCCTATCAAAATAAGGTTGTACATGACATTCTTCTGTAAAGATGAAAAAAAAAAAGTAACACCCTTCATTACATTGCGCACTCTCCAAATCTAAGATAACATTTAATTTTTTTTTTATTTCATTTAGTGTATCATATTTCCTAATCAATGATGTCAATTAATAGATATATTCCTTTATTAGATATTATAGTCATTCCTAGTTAAGTGAAACTTAAACTCATGTTGCTTCATGTAAATTCATGGAGATAGAATATAAGATAAACAATTGCCTAAAAAGATATTTTTTCAGATATTGAAGATAGATCAATTATTAAATTGGAGTTTGTTAACCTTTTTTTTAGATTCAGGGGTGCTTCTGTTGATCATGGCTCAATAAGTTCTGATGTACTATGAATGAAAACACTAGATGGATGATTTATAGAGCTAATTCCACATGACTAAAATTTATCCTTTAAATTATTAAGTAAACCATGTCCACACACAAACAAAGGCTGGCTAACCATCAACAGTGCCCAAGCAGACGCAACGGATCAGGGCCAACAGTAGTAATGTGCTTAAATATTTAGCAAACTTTCTTAGGGAAAGGAAAGAGAAATAATGATTTTTATACTCCATGTACTTGCTTTTTAAATTTTATTTTTATATCAAATAAACATGTCGGTTGGCAAGAAAGCTACAGCTCAGAGCAATAACATCGCATAAGCAACCATTTGGGTAATCAAAAGAAAACCTAATCCTATGTAACACAGGAAAATATAGCTACAGGAGTTAAGACACATGGTGTTGATTATCTGATAATAAAAAAATTAAGGAATAATTATTGATGCCAATTTCACAAAATTGCATTTTAAAGAAATATAACATTTTAGAAAAAAGCGAGTCCGGATAATAAACAATTTTTGTCCTAAAACTCTAGAATCAAATCACTGCTATGAGCACATGCAATTGCTAACAAGAAAACGGCTAAATAAAATGTAGGTGCAAATCAGAAACCAGGGATGTAATGGAAAAACTTCTTATTTAATTAAAAGAATATGATACATCTTTATATACACTCATATCTCTATATAGTAGGAATATTTCTAATATAATATACATGCTTCCTAATATATACCCATTAATAATATTCTACATAATATTCCCCCTCAAGCTGAAGTATAGAAATTTATCATGCCCATCTTGTTACAAATGTAAGTGACTATAGCTCCTTTAAGGGCCTTAGTGAAGATGTCCCGTAATTGTTCTCCAGTTTTTATGAGCTGTAGAAATCAAATTTTGTTGAATTTTTTCAAGACAAAAGGAGAATCTATCTCAATGCTTAGTTCGTTCATTGAAGATGGGCTTTGAAACAATAAGAATAGTTATCACACCACAGCTTTGTTGGAATTATCATCTTAAAACCCATTTCAATCGAGAATTGAGGAACCATAACAATTCCCTTGAATCTTGTGTCAATGCTTGATACTTGGATTCTATACTGAAACGTGACCCTATATTTTGCCTCTTATTATCCATGAGACCTAATTACCACCAACAAAAACACAATATGCAGTAATGTATCATCGATCAATCTTGGAACTTGTCAAATCCGCATCAGAGAAAAATTCATTATATGCCAATGATACTGATATAGATTCCATTTTCCAGGAGCTCGTTTGAGGTAACATAGTATCTGTTCCAGAGCTAACCAATGATGGATTGTTGGTGAAGACATGAATTGACTTGTAAAACTAACTGAATAAGCAATGACAAGGCGAGTCACTATGAGTTAGTTTAGTTTTCTCACTAACTTCCTATATTATTCAAGATCATTAAAAAGCTCTCCATTTGATTGAGAAGCATCAGAGTACTACATGATTTGACTCCTAATTTTCATATTTCTGCTAAGAAATTCAATAGATAATTTTGTTGAGATAGAAAGATGCCCTTCTTGCTCATTGATACCTCAATCCCAAAGAAATATTTCAAAGCATCCAGATGTTTAGTGTTCAACTATTTTTTGAGAGTTGATTTCAATGATAAAATTCCCTACCCATCGTTTTGAGCAATAATAATACCAACATACAAAACCATAGGAATGATCTCAGAAGTAGATCGTTTGCAGAATACAGTGTGATCACTTTTAATTTTCTGCATCCCAAACTCTTCTACTGCTTGACCAAATCTTCTAGAAGATCAACATGCAAAAATGCATTTCACACCAAATTGGTGCAGGGACCAATTAATCAGCCAAGGACAAGATGAGGTGAACCAAAGTCAACTTAGCTACCAAAGAGAACATGTAAGTAGTCACTCCCATAAAATGAAGCATAGCAACCAAACAAGCTTCGAGACGAGACACAGATCCATCAAAATGAAACTTAACTGCAAATACCCCATTTACAACTAACAACCTTCACAACCTTCTTGCTAAGGGGGTAATTCAACTAGTTCCCAAGTTTCATTTTCAGTCAAGGCATTCATTTCATCAAGCATCGCTGCTTGCCACCCAGAATGGGATAGAGCTTGCTGAACAAAACTCGGGGCCTTAACAAAGTCAAGGGAAACTATATATGACCAAGAAGTAGATGATAATTGATCATAGTTCATGCATGAAAAATGAGATAAATGCATTAAAATTTACCTCTTTGAAAAGCAATTGGTAACTCAAGGTCACCAGTAGATGAATCCACTGAAGAAGAAGATAGAGGTGTAGACTAAGATTAAGGGGACGAGGTCTTCTCAAGTATACATTGGTTAAAGGTGGTCTAAGCTAAGGTACTAGTGGTGAAAGTGGAGCTGAACTTAAGAAGTCATCCATTACCTCATCAGAATCTTATGAGGATTTAAACAGCGATGAGTTACCAAAGAATGAGATATGTTCATGAAAGGTGACATCAGCAGAAACCATGTACCCGTTTAAGAGAAAAAAATATTGATACCTTAATTGGAAAGAAGAGTATCATAGAAAGACACCTTAATGATTTATGGTCCAACTTAGAAACCTGTGGATGAGTGTCATGAACAAAACAAGACACTCAAATATTCGTGTTTCAATGAGGGAAAGAAATAGAACTTGGTAGGGTATCTGGTTCTATAAATCAGTAGAAGGATTTCGATTGGTAAAAAAACATGCAGTTGAAACCGCATCGACCAAGAGATATATGAGTACACTAGTTTGAAACAAAAGAGCTGTAGCTGTCAGAAAAAAAACAACTATTTTTCCTTTCAGTTACGCGTTTTGAGATGGAATATCGACGCGTTTTGAGATGGAATATCGACACATGATGATCGATGAAATATCTTTTGTGTCATGTATGTCTGAAAAAGTACAGAGAAATAATCTTTAGCATTATCATTTCTCATAATCTCAACAAAAATATTCAATTGAGTTTTCATTTCAGCACAAAAGAATTGAAAATGTGACAGTAATTCAAACGGGATTTCACAAAGTAAAATCAAGTCATACGAGAAAAATCATTCACAAAAATAACAAAATATCAAAAATTTATTAGAAAAAACAGGACAAGGTTTCCATGCATTAGAATGAACCAACTCAAAATTATGACAGACTTTTTTATCAATTATGGGAATAGAAGACAAACAGTGGTGTAGCAAATTAACAATAATCACAATTTGAAGTTGATAATTGTTGAAACTGATGGTATAATTTTTTTAGCATTGATAGTGATGGATGCCCTAATCAACAATAGGCCTCAAATGTAGGGGTGTAAACGAGCCGAACACGAGCAAGCTTGTTTATATTTCGAGCTCAAAAAGTGTGTTCGTGTTCGACTCGTTTGCTTAGCAAGCCGAACACGAGCCGTTCACAAATAAAGAGTAGTTTTGACAACAATAATCACGTAGTCATAAGATTTCAAAGATTGGGGCAAGATTTAAAACATCATTTGAATCTAATTTAATAATTTTTATTATATTTTCCTAATTAATACTTTTAATTGATTATAAATCTTTGTAGCCTTGTAGTCAACTAGACTTTTTAAAAATATTACTCATCAAATATATATATATATGATTAGTATTTTTAAAAAAATTAGTTGACTACAAGGATACAAAGATTTATAATCAATTAAAAATATTAATTAAGAAAATGGAATAAAACTTATTAAATTAGATTCAAATGATATTTTAAAACAACCCTACTCAAACGGAGATAAGGTACTGGAACAAGCTATGGATCGAGGTAGGTTATTATCCAAAATGTGTAGTCCTCTAATTCTCATCCTTTACAAATAATATTCTTCGTCATAAAATCCTAAAAAAGACAATGACTAGGGAAAAATAAGATACAATAATTAAGAACGCGTATAATTTTGCAAACAGAAACAATATTAAAAGAGAAATGAGAGAAACAAAAGACAGACATTAAAGGTACCATGAGTGTAACATTAATGGTTTCAAACTAAAAATATTAGAGGTAGATCCATCCGCTAAGGTGATTAAGAAAAGATCTTTATGAAAGGTAGCAAAGAGTTTTGGATTAACCGTTAGCTGATATGTGGCACTAGAATCAATGAACCATACTATAGAAGAGGAAAGAATATAAATATCCTTGCTATCTGACTCGACAAGGGTAGTGATAGAGGGAGATTTCTTGGATGTTTCCCAAAATTAGATGAATTTAGCATATTCATCTACAGAAATTAAGAGTTTCCGATGTGAGGCTGAGAAGAGGGTTGGCTAAACTGACCACTGAAGTCAGGTCCAACCCCTGCTCGACCGGCCAACCCCAGAAGGGAGGACCTACCGCATGCCATACTTCCCCCCTTCATTTTCTATTACTCTCCATTTATATTTCTTGCTTATTCTATGCCCTTCATTTTTTATTTTCTTTCATACTCTGATCCTTACTATTCTAATCACTAATTATTATTATATATGTCTGATGTTTGCTTAGGTTAAAGACTATTGATTGATTTTCTAAATTCAGAGTCTGTCGCCTGCATTTTTCCCATATGAGAGTTGTATATGACTGCAAGAAGGTGCTTCGGCTGTAATTCATTAGAGGTGGTGACTATCTCCGATGTTCCTCCACTTTCCTGCTTTCTCTGGTTCCATCCAGCGTTTCTAGACTACCACAGATCCCCTCATGTGATTTCAGAGTGTCGCAGCCTCCAGCCTCTAGCCAGCGCTTCCAAATTGTCACAGATCCCTTCCTGCGGATCCAGAGTGTCGCAGACTCCATTAAGTGCCCCCCAAATTGTCGCGGATCTCCTCCTGCGCTTCCAACCGACTCCTCCCTGCACTCTTTAGCAGATTGCTGACTCCTTCCAGCACTTCCTAGCAAGTCGTCGACCTTCTACACACTCCTGTTGGTTGGCGACTCCTCCCTGCATTTCCCGACAGGCCATCAACCACTTTTGCACCCTCCAAAAGTACACAGACACCTATAGCTTCCCTCTGGACCCTTCCGGCAGACAGCCGCACGTGTTGCACGCCAACACCGCAACCCCGACTTCCCCACCTTCCTGCAACCACCCACACTTGTTGTTGCCCCTTCTGGCAGCCACCTGCACTTGTTTCTCCCTTCGCTATAGTCATCGTTTGCGCCTATCTAAGTCACCTCCACCAACATTTTTCTTTCTTATTCCCAAACCCCAACGAAAATTTCGACCTAACCCTAACTCCCCCTGTTGATTTTTAAAGCCAACAACCATAAATTACTTTTTCTACACCTTAAACGAGTCTCTTACACGCTCTCTCTTACTCGCTCTTCCACCCAATCCAAAATCTTAATCAAGTCACCAAGTAGAAACATGCTCGAACCTTTGTGGGAAGAGATACGGCAGGAAGTCCGTCGGCTTCAACGGAGGCTTATAGAAACTGAGAATGAAATCCAATGGGAGATTACCCTTGACCGTGATTTAGAAAGTCGAAGGGGAGAATGATAGAATCTAAGAATGAAGCGGAAGGTATTACCAGTTCCTACGAGCTTACTACAGACATAAACTTCATACTCTAGCTTCAGAAGTGGAGGGGCCACACCGTCGAGCTACCACTACATCTTTTAGGCTGAGGTTAACATCAGGATCTTATAGCTAGAGTGCACCCAGAGGAACACCTAAGTCGACCCCGTCAGAGGACAAACTGATTAAGAGTAGACAACAGGTGAGACTAGGTCGCATCCCTAAATCTATCACATCAAGGAAGTGTTGCAAGTGACACGGATTTGGAAATATGGAATCAGAATGCACAACCAGTGGAGAGTTTTGTTCCAATGAGCAAGGTATTGTTGAAAAGTTGGGCAATAACACGGTTGGTCTGGGAGATGATGAAGGCATCGGAGAGGATTCTCCACTTGCAGCAAATAAGGAAGATACGCCACTATTTTCAGCTGACCACGAGATAGAGATTCCAGCTAAGGTAACAGTCGCGCCTCTAAAAGGTAGTGACACTGAGTTAATGGGCAGTCCAGAAGTGTATGAGATTATGATGCCCTGAGCTAGCATTTTACAAACTCTGAGAAGAAAATCAGCAAGACCAACCTTGGATGTCTACAAGGGTTATGAGTTTGAGGAGTAGACATCAGATACAAAGTCACCACAGATAAAGAAAAATGCTTTTCAGATTTATGGACCCCTCCCGAGTTGCCCCTACAAAGGAAGGTCCACCATGTTTGAAGAGGAGTCATTTTGTGCCATTCCTGGAATATTACGGTGAGTATTTCAGATGTCAGATTCAGCTCAGCGGGGTACCCATCAGCAGATGTCCAGACAAAAGGGATAAATCTCAGCTTTGAAATGTGCCCTAGGAGCCTGAGGGGGACGAAATTTCTTCAATGGGTGCCACTAAAGATGTCTCTCATGAATGGTTGCTAGTGAGAGGGGCACAGCCTGCCACAAATGTCCTCCCAAAATTAATTTCTCCTCATCTACTTGTTCATAAGCTACAATTCGCAGGGTACGAAAAGTGGAAGGAGAAAGTTTCAAGCTTAAGGGCTTGAGAGTTATATTGAAGAACCCACCACTATATATAACACCCGCTCAGGATGTGTCAAAAAAGAACGGATGCCTATTCTACCAGAATGCGTTGTGGAATGACAACGCCAACATGATCGACATACCAAGGGACTTGACGCCATGTCATGAGGATCCGGAAACTTTGACGAATGAGTTTGAAGCTCCCTCAACACTGAAAGACTGACGCAAGTGCAAGGCACCCTCGAGCAGGGCGGGAGCAGGAGACCGGGCCGACTAGTCCAGTTGAGGGCCAGTCCAAGGAGAACTCAGGCCGAGTCCAGAGGCACGATTTTGACGAGCGAGATTGCCGCCCGCCCCTCCTTCCTTTTCTACTTCCCCTTCCTATAGAAGTATTAACTTCTATTTTTAGAGTTTAGGGATAGTTTTTTTATGTGTTCTACTTTCAGATTCCTATGTGAAGCCTTCTCTGTTCTAGGGTTGTATTCGAGGAGGTGGTGATGCTTCGGTTGTATCTGACTCCATGGTGGTGTTGTATCTTACTCAATCTTCTTCCCAAAACCTTCTTGCTCCCTGTTTGACCGCCCCTGGAACTACCTTTCCACTTGTTGTCCAGCTTCTCCACCCGTTCCAACCAACTTGTCGTCGCTCCTCTCTACATTAACATTGTTGTCCATCCTTCCCACCATCCCCAACTACATTGTCGCCCTTCAATTGCAGTTGTCTCTGCCGACCTGGTCACTTCTCAGCCTATCGAACCCCCTTTCCCAGAATTCTTACCTGTTGTCCACTACTCAAGCCCCTTCCTCCACATAAGGCAGCCCCAGTACAGCCCTCAGGAGGGTGGTTCCAACCGTCCAGATTACTTACCAGCTCCCGACACCCTCTCCCTACAGCCACCCTCGTTGTTTAGCCCACCTACCGGCCACCAAACCCCTTTCTAACCGACCTTGCAGCTACCAACCCTTCTACTACCCTCAACACGTTGCTGACGCCACTTTGCCCTCGGATCTTCCCTTTTGGCTTTGTTATTGTGTTTTTCTCTTTCCGTTTAAGTCATGTTGTAACCCTAACTCAGTATCAATAAAAATTTGTTTTGCGTTTTACGTTGAACTTCCTACTAGTTTTGGTAACAAACTCATTATCTCTATGTATTAGGAATATTTCTAATATAGATAAGATAATGTAATTAATCTCCTTTAATTAGATTACCTAATATCAATCATCCTAATATACACTAACAACAACAAGCCTTTATCCCACTAAGTGGGGTCGGCTGCATGAATCCTTTTTCTTTATTGTATCCTATTGAGTGTCATATTTTCATTTATATCTAATAAATTAAAATCATTTTTTTATTCAATATATCCAAGTCATTTTAGGTCTTCCTCCACCTTTTTTAGTATATTTGAATCTAAAACATCAACTCTCCTAACCAGATCATCAGATGGTCAACGTTTAAAATATAACCAAACCATCTAAGACGACTCTCTCTAATCAGCTAAACATTAGCATAATAACCATATTCACTTCTACTATACCTCGTTAACTAATATTAATGTTATTAACAAAACTTTAGTGCCTAGGTCTGTCAAGAGAAATACATATACCCTAAAAAAATTACACAAAAACTAATGCTACATAAGCACTTAATGAAGCGGACAAATAAAAACTCTTCAAGTAATAGTGGATGACACACTAATTTAATTGGTCCAATAATAATTATGGACTCCAAATCATTATTTGTGTAGATTATTTCTGGGGAACGTAGCGCTAAAAATGAAAAAAGGGCATTTACATGCGTACCACCCAATTCTCATGTATTGCCATAACTAACACGAACACTTCAATTTTTATCATGAAAAGGTGTAATTCAGTTCTTTAAAGTTACATTGGTGGACATTGAGATGTGATAGGAAAGCTTTGGGTGGTATAAATATAAAAAGCAAAATTTAAGTGTTAGATATATAAATAAATAGGAATTAGGCGCTGTGTATGTAAATGCCCCAAAAAAATAATCTCCTTTCATGACTTCCCAAAAACAACCGAAAAGATAAAACCTTATCAAAATCACCATTTGGCACTCAATTTCATAAAGGAACTTCAGTCTGAACATTGAGATACATACAGACTGCAGTACAGCAGTGGTCGTAGGGGTAGCTAACCGCCTTTGAGTTGGACCTCCAAGCTTTCCTCTCACAGAAGACGGTAGCTCAATCCCCTTGACTAAAGAACTCGACCAGAATATGGGTGAAACTAGTCTCGCAAAGTAAAGAACTTCATCCTGCATTCAGCATAAATAAAAATAAAAATAAAACTTCTGTTTACCAAAAAAATAGAATATCACGCTTAAGAAGGTTGAGCACCAAAAGCTCATTAGCAAGCATAAACACAATTTATCAAGCATAAAACCATTGGAACTTACCCTTAGAAGAAGCAATTGCACCGCAATTTTTTCTGATGCCGTCAGTGCTGCAATAATAGAGGATTCATCCAAATTCATGGTAACCTCAGTCCCAGCCACAGTTTCACGGTGGAACAGAAGCTTTTTCCAAACAATTTGAGATTCTTCATTTAAGCACAAAAGAAGAATGAGAAGCTTGATACGAACCCACTTGGTAGAAGTATCTTTGCAAAGGTTGCCACAATAGTTCTTAAAAAACTGTTAAAACAAACAATACATTTTCACAATGTGACAACATTTCAATTCTGCATTTTTATAAATTACAATGTTGATGGTACATGACCTTGGTAAATGCAAAATTGAAAACCCATTAGCCATAGATAGTGCAAAATCCTCTCAAAAACTTGAAAGACGTTAACTCTGCAACCATATTTCAGTTGGATTACAGCCATTATAAGAAGTCAAACGACTGACAGCCTGAAATTATTTCACGGAAGTTTACTAATGCTGATTTTTATTTCAGTTATTTAATAGTAAATTGGCAATCCTATCAACTTCTTTCTTGTCTCAAAATTTACACAAAATAAATGATGTCCCCACTAGAATAAAAATAATGCCGTGAAATCATATTTTGATCATCATTATATGTATGTCATGAACTATTAGAGAACAAATGAAAAACCAAAGAAAAAACACATAATACTGCAAAGCTTCCTTCCTGCTTGTTGCTTGGCAAACAAGTGCACAACAAATAAAATGCCAAATTGATGTCATTCATGAATCAGCAGGTTGCGCTGATTTCCTATATCACGTTCTACACATAGAGAAAAGCTATAAGAAAAAAACACTACATATTTGGAGAGTGTTGCATGTTTATTTGAGTGTAAACTAAAACATTGCACTCGTTCCCCACATAAACAAAAAAAAAAATCTATGTTGAATATAACACAATCTTCTCTCCTCTACAAGATATTAGAGCAAAGAGAGTGTCAATCCGGCTAACCCAGATCAATCTCCAAATCCCATACCCCACTCAAACCACTGCTTATATGTCTTACTTCCTAATCTCACACTCCAAAACCACCATTCACAGACTTACGCTCAAATGCTCAATCCTGTCACCCATCATGATCCTGCCTCTCAAGCTAGCTCTTAACTCTGCACTCGTGCTCTTCCACAACCCATCTTACGCACCCAGATCCTTGTGCATTTGATCCTTCCGCTCAAGCTCACTCATATATCTACACACTCATCCACAATCACCACTGGTCAAAACTACACTAATGGCCACACACTCAAATTCAAGCTTATAACTTCAGATTCTAAACATATGTTGCCTCTACAATCATCATCTACTACCCTAGCTCATGTTTGCCCGCTACTTGAGGCACAATCAATTCTGGCATTGCCTTCTCTTAGTTATTCTAGTTAAATTCTCATGTGAAATCTCTCACTCTCTCTCTCTCTCTCTCTCTCTCACTCATGGTGTTACGACATCTTAATATCATCTTGCTGGCTTAAAAAATCTCATTAACCATTGAAGGTGTTACGACATCTTAATATCATCTTGCTGGCTTAAAAAATCTCATTAACCATTGAAGCTACTACCAAATTGAACGGACATCAATTATCTTTTGTGGTTGAAGGGAGGATCTTTTGATTGTCTATTACACATCAAACTCAATCAACTTAATGTATATTCTTTGGATAGCACTGGCATCATCAAATTTTCCATTTAGAGAAGATCCAAAAAATGACGTTCTTCCCTAATTGATCAATAATCTAGAACCCTCAATTACCTCAACTATCATGTTTCAAGACCCGGCTAAGAAAATGTGAGACTTTCTTCATTTCAGATAATTTCAAAAAGCACATCAGGGAATGTTTGGTATGATACTTTTAAGAAAATTTAAGTTAGATTTAACTTAAATCTAGCCAAACACCATAAATATGTTAGATAAATCTGTCGTTACGTTAAATTCAATTTTTGCTTGTTCCATTTATTAAATTCAGATTTCCTAAATCCACTTATTAGTTCGACTTAACAAATTTAGCGCCGGAAAAAAAAATCAAATAGATTTAAGCCAAACACCTCAAAAACTAGATTTAACCTTAATTGAACCAAACATTATTTTGAATTTAATGACATTTATATTTAATAAATCAGGATTTACTAAATTCTTTTTAACTTAAGTCTTCCTTGCAGCCAAACACCACCTTAGTTCAGAATCTCTACTCTGAGATAATTCTCAAAAAACAAAAACATATAAAGATCAAAGACTAATATAGAAATTTGTGAAAAAAAAGGGCACATCACTCCTAAATCCAAGCATTACAAATACTCTCTTCGAACGTGTTCTCAACATAAGCCATTCACTCCTCACACTGTATCTTCTAATCAGTCAAACTTTGTTATTCTCTTTAAGAGCACTAAAAAAAATCATGGATATGATAGCATAATGAAGATGCAAGTCTATGATGAATGTACATGAACACAACGCGAACAAAGCAAAAATATTAAAAAAGTTTAATTAAAACTCCTCATCTAATATTTTCTACGAAAACCAAATATCATGTACTTCTCATACAAACTTCAAAATAATTAAATAAAAACAAATTGATACCGGAGTTAATCCAAACCACAAAAGGAAAACAAATAATATCACCAAAAGGAAAAAAACTATTACAACCAACACACTTGAAAGGGAAAATAAAATAACACGACACAAACAAACACAACTAAAGTGTATCTCAAGGGTTGTGGAGGTCGCTAGGTGGATCGGAATGACTAGTGGATGTGGAGGCAACAAAGGAATGCTAGTGGCAGCAAGGCGGGGTGCAAAAATACAAGAACAACAAGTATGGTTGTTGTCCTAGATGGTGGCAGCAAGGGTTTAGGGTGGATAGCGGCGAAACAGCATGAAGGAGGTGTTCCCCGGCTGTTTTGGAACGATGTGGGAAAGATGAAAAAGTGGATTGGGAAGATATACACTAGGCATCAAGATACATCTGAAGCACTGAATGGAACCTTAGGATACAGCTCTCGAAAAAAAGAAGAGACATCAGGGCTGTCCTGATACAAAACACCAGAAAAACTGACTTCCAAACTCTAATACAACACATATATAGGAAATGAGTAAAAAAGAATGAAAGATGATAGGAAATAAAATCGAAGAAAGGAAAACGAAATTATTTCAGCCCATCTCCGCAATAGTTATTCCCGTGGTATTGTAGCAGCTACAATACCACGAAAATTTGTGCGGTGAGCTCCTGCATCACAAGTATTGTTAATTACAATTTAACTACAAAATTTTATATTGCATTAATTTTCAATTGCCAACAATACACCAATAGGAACAAATAAGAATGCAAATTGAATTGTAGAACCTAAAAACCACAAAAATGCATCCCATAATTTTCACCTCTGTGTTGGGTTCGTCTTGTCAAGATGGTCAATGTGATTATAAGTATGTTGAAATCAAAATTCTGGATAATTTTTAATTTGAATCATAACATCCTTTGCTCAAAAAAAGCCTCGAGATTCATGCAAACTAATTAAATTTGTTGATGAGGCATCAATCATAATCCGCAATAATATTTTACTTTTTTTCATTCTTCAATAGTTCATTTTCTCCTCAATAATATTTTGTACATCTTCCCTCCATCATTTAATCTCCTAGTTAAATGCAATGTATTGTCGCACATAAAAACTCTTCTACAATATTTTCAATGAATCTAGTCATTTTTCCTACAAGCTTGACAAAATTAATGAATTTAAAAGATCCCTCTTATTAACCTCGCTATAGAGACTAACAAATTCTCATCTTCTAAACATTTTCTCCTATAGAAAGTATTTCTTCAAATTTTTATATGCACTTAAAATATAAATGCATGACTTAGTTTTGTAGCTCGAACTCTCTTTGAAAATCACCTTACAATTTTTTATCAGATTTATTTCTTCTAAATTTAAAAAAAAAAAAAAACTATTACTGATTCCCTTCTCAGTACTCTACAAACTAAATTGCATTTCAGAAGGCTCACTAGGCGATATCGTTTTACTGGAATAAAGTGAAGGCAGATTAGTAAGACAATTTGGGCAACGACAAGATTAATGTGATGATAGAAGAAATTTTAATTCGCTATCAATTCAACGGTGCATCGACAACTATACCAAGGGATGTTAGGTATGTCATTAAGCTAAAACAAAAAGGCAAACAAGTCCGTTTTACACCCATTTACTAGTGCTTTAGTCACATTAAATAGATGTTAGCATCGTTTTATCAAATCACTTCTAAACACCAAGAGACGGAGAATTGTTCATTGTAGTGGTTGATTGTTTATACAAAATGGCTCACTTTATTTCATGCAAGAAAACACAGATTGTGTGACTACATAATATTCAAAAATCAACTAATTTTGATCAAAATGTTCGATTTTTTAGCCATTTAAAAAAAAAATGAAGGCAAAAGTTGAGTAGAAAGTTACAATCCAATTCAACACATTTTTATATTAAGAATTAAAATAATTAATATCCCAAGTGCGCTTAATTAAACTACTGAATAGGTTTAAAATAGCGCAATTGAATATGAAGGCATTTTATATTCGTAAGGCAAGGCGTTTTGAGACATAAACCCCAAATTTTAAAAAATGCATAAAAGAAAAAGTATTGTAAGAACTTCAAAGCATAAAGAAGTAAAATATTACCATTTTGACATATTAACGCATTAAAAAGTAATATACCAACATCCTAATAAAAAAATAAAAAATAATTTCCATAAATTAAAGAAGAAGTATGTTAACATCCTCATAATAAATTATAAAATAAGATGTATTATACAAATATCAAACTATCAAAATAAATTAAGATATGAAAATAAATATTAAAGCACAATAACATAATAATCAAAATAAGTTAATGACTTGATCTCTCACCCATACCGTCCACCTAAATAAAAACCTAACAAACCATCAACATTAGAAGTTTTAAATTCAAAAGATCTCATCAATCTCATCACTCAATGGACCTTCATCAGTAGCCTTGCAAAAACTTCTAAATAGGTTGTCTATTTCCACCACATTTTGGGTTTGACCTAGTGGGATCAAAATGGAGCATGCATGGGAAATTCCGGTAAAGCTTTTTCGTTAAGGTGTTAATCAAGAATAGAAGTTTAAGAGAAGTTTCATATAAGCATGGACAATAGCTGAAATTTCTTTGAGAAGAAAGATTCTTGAAGTTGTTATCATTATAACAAGGTTTTGGTTTTATTATATTTTCTTAACAGTCATGCAATATAAAATAGTTTCAAACTGTCCTTAAAGTCGTTTAACATTGTAAAAGTTTATTGATAAAATTTATCACACTATCTCTCAGCATCAAAAGATGCTCTAAGCATATCATAATGTCAAATTTATGGGAAATATACATACATAGTACACAGTTCTTATGTATTTACGTATCTCACACCTAAAATTTCATATTTACATACACAACACTTTGGTGCTTTAAACAGATACATGAAAAGGTGCATTTCACTTTTCAAAAAGTGGTAATAGAGTTACCATGATGTGATAATAAAGAATCGAGTACTATGTGTATAAATATGAAAGTTTAGGTGTGAGATATAAATACATAAGAATTGTGTGCTATCTATGTAAATGCACCTAAATTTATTTACATGTTCATGACAGAAGAATGTGCTCAAATCATGATGCTTTCCATGGAGGAGGCTTTTGGAATAGATTGAATTGTGCTTCCTTGCCCTAACATTGTAGAGGATATTCCGTGATTCAAATTTATGGCAGTCATATCATAGTGGAGAAACCTAAGGCTGTTCCAATAAGTAACAAAATTGTGCATGTAACCTTTGAATAATGAAATCTTAAAAGAACATTATATATTATACTACTAAATGGAATATTTCTGATGGATCATACATGGTCAGCATAAAACACTCACGACAGGAGCAAATAAATTTAATTCATAATCCCAGAACACTATATCATTCACGCATAAGTAATACAGACTATAAATAGATCTATCAAACCACTTCCATAAAATCATGGATAAAGAAAATGAAACGAAGTCCCCAAAAAACCAAGAAGAGAGAGAGAGAGAGAGATATTGGAAAACTACATATCAAAAAAGAGCAAAATTTAAAAATTAAATATATATAACTAGGTCATCAACAATGCAAAGAAAGCAAACCTCAAATAAAGGAACTAGTTCTTGCTCGTCTCTAATTATAAGAAAAAGCACCCAGGCCCATCTTCGCGCCTCAACTAACCAACGCTCTATGTCGTCATCATCAAAAGACACAGAATCATCAGATGAAAGCTTATGCCGGATAAAACATGAAGGAAAATATAAAAGACTCTTCAGAAGATATATTCGGCTGTCAATTAGCCCAATGTTTCTATCCTCGTAACTTATTTTAGCCATCCATGTTTGCAATATGTGTCTTAAAGGACCTGTTTTAGTAAATGAGAGGAGACTTGTTAGCAAACAAAAAATTGGGAAAACACAAACAAAAAAATAGCAAACCATGCCGAAATGCACAAAGTCATAGTAGAAACATAAACAATGAGATCTTTTTACAATAAGAACAAGGTTTGACCTATGAATCCACCCAAAAAAAAAAAAAAAATCATATTTTCATGTTTCATGCACCTATGCCAACCTTCTCTTCCTTGGTCAAAGTCAATACATGTAAAATCTTAAAAGCACAAAAAAATTGCCTTCCTAAATGAAGTGGAGCTACCAACATGTCAATATAGCAGGCACCATTACTGACCATGTAGGAAAAAATTTACAGAACAAATTGTTATGACTTCTATGCCATTAAGTTTGACGATTAAAAGGAGTTAGAATTACAACGATAATAAAATTATAACCCTTTTTTGATTTGAAATAATACTTCCATTCCTAGAGCGTACAATCCCCATTCCACAGCTTATGACAACTGAAAACACACGTTGCAAAGCAACTCATCCATCTTTGTGAGAAAATAAAGGACTTTATTTCATATTAGCACAGCAATACCGAATGAAGCCAAGAAACTATTCAAGTACAAGAGGTACATGAGAGAAATCCATCAAACTCCCAAACACCTAAAATTACCATATACATATGAGAAATTCGCCAAAGAAAAGCGCTGCTAGAAAAGCCCAAAAAATCATAAAATTAGAAACAATCAAAGAAACAACAACAACAAAAAACCTTTATCCCACTAAGTGGGGGTCGGATAAATGAATTCTTTTTCTCCATTGCGTCCGATTGAGAATCATATGTTCATTTAATTCTAATAAATTAAGATCAATTTTTATATAATATGCCCAAGTCTTTTTAGGTCTACCTCTGTTAGGTCTAATATGCCCAAGTCTTTTTAGGTCTACCTCTGTCTTTCTTAACATAAGTCGAATCCGAAACATCTGCTATCCTAACTGAATCATCATAATGTCGACGTTTAATGTGACCAAACCATCTAAGGCAACTCTCTCTAATTTTGTCCGCCATTGGACCTCCACCAACCTATCACAGATATAATCATTTCGCATTTTGTCTCTAAGTGTAAAGCCACTCATCCGCCTAAACATTCTCATCTTAGCAACACTAAACTTAATTTTATGCTTCTCTTTTAAAGGTCAAACTATGCATGGTAAAGCATTGCAGGTCTCACCAACATCTTATACAAAATTTTCCTTTCAGTCTAAGCGGTACTTTTTTATCGCACAATAGGCCTGAAGCATTCCTCCACTTCAACCAACCAACTTGAATTCTACTAATAACAACCATCACTTTGAACAATAGACTTTGAACAATAGACTCTAGATATCTAAAGTGAAGTTTTTAGAATACGATGTAGACCCCTATAATTCAAGCTTTTGCTGAGCTTTTTCTCTAGTCTTATCCACAAGAACGATATCAGCGAAAAGCATACACCAAGATACACCCTCCCGTAAATGTCCAATAAGAGCATACATAACTAAAGCAAAAAGATAAGGGTTTAAAGCCAATTCCTGATGTAATCCAACTGAAATAGGAAAATATTTGGTCAATCCTCCTTTTGTTTGAACATAAGTAATAGCTCTAGCATACATATCTTTAATGACTTGAACATAATTCAAATCAAGACATTTCTTCTCTAGAACTCTCCAAAGGATATCTTTTGGAACCTTATCGTAAGCTTTTTCTAAATCAATAAAAATTATCTGTAAATCCTCCTTATTCTCTGTGAGCTTCTCCATAAACCTCTTAATAAATGTATAGCTTCCATAGTAAACCTACCCGGCATAAATGCAAATTGATTATGAGAAATATTTGTAATACGACTTAACCTATATTCAAATACTCTCTCCCATAATTTTAAATTATGACACATCAACCTAATTCCTCTATAATTTGCACAATGTTGTGCATCCCCTTTATTCTTAAAAATGGGGACCAAAATACTCTTTTTCCACTACTTAGGGCATTTTTTAGTTTTTAAAATAATATTAAAAAGTTCAGTACGCCAAGAAACCCCAAATCTCCTAAATATTTCCACACTTCAATAGGGATATTATCAGGTCCTACAGACTTTCCACTCTTCATTTTCTTTAATGTCTCATCAACTTCTTTTTTACTAATGCAACGATAAAAATGAAATATTTTATTATTATTAATGATATTAAGATCACTAAAGTCGATTATATTTTCAGAAACATTATTAAAAGATTTATCAAAATAATTCACCCGCTTATGTTGAATATTTTTTTCTAAGAAAAATACTCTTTCATGTTCATTTTTAATACACTTTAACTGAGTTAAATCTTTACTTTTCTTTTTTCTTTGTTTGGCTAGTTTATACATATATTTTTCACCCTCTTTAATGGAACAAAAAAAGAATTTTACAAGAACAAATTGTAAAAAAAAAGTAAATTTTTGTAATTGATTTGTCTCATTTTGCTTACCAGTTATATCAATAAATTCTCGGGGAAATGCTGAAAGAAAATGAAGAAAAACCTCGAGCGAAACATCATTGATGATTATCAACGAAGATGCAGCCTTAAGAATCTGTTCACAGACTGAATGCAAAGAAAAGTTAAGGTTCCCCATGAAGACATAGGCATGCTATCACATAAGTTAAATTTTCAGTACAGTTGAAACTCAAAAATATGACCAAAAAGAGACCTTGTAAACGATAATTAGGGTTGTAGTGTTGTTTGCTTCTTGAAATTACAATTCTTAAAGCATCAAGCAACTCAACAGCACTAGTGTGCACAGCATTATTTGAAGCAGAATAAGCAAATTCAACCTCACAGCATCCATTTGAACATTGTTTTTCCTTTCTTTCATTTGCCTTCGAATGACAACTAGTTGAAGAAATACAGAAGGCCAGCGTCATCAATCCAGCTCGACCACATGACTCATGTCTAGCAACAGAAGCTAAACTCCAAGCAAGTGATGAGCATTCACTGCGAAGGATTAGAAGAATTTAGAAGAGAGGAAAACATGCTATATGTTCTAATAAATAATACTGTCAAAAACAAGCATTACACTCGGTCAAGCTCTGAAAAGCAATTTCAGGAGATACAAGAGATTTATTAAGTGGGAAATTATAGCATATATTCCACCAGGTATAATTTATTCTCATGTCTAAAATTAGCACGCAACATCTTAAAAAATTGAATTCATTTGACATTGCAACATGATTCTAGCTCAAGAAAGGGGAAAAAATATTAATAATACAGGAAGACTGATCAGATAATGAAGGATACTATAGAAAGTTAAACATAATCAACTGGACTCCTGTGATGCTGAACTAGGGTTCCTAGATGGCGTATAAGGATCAATAAAGTTGGGAGTGTTGTATCACAATAGCAAAGAGTAAAAGCTGAGAATAACAATTATTTTGGAAGGAAAAAGGATGACAGGAACTGTTTCATGGAAAACAGCTAGAAGGCTAGCTGGCGATGATTAGAGGGTTTACGGATGTCGAGGAGGATCCATCACCTGTTAGTTGTTCTTGATCAAGTTACAGGCACACCACTTAAAAAAAGAAAATAATATAGCTCTCTAAAGAGAAGAAAATCTCCAATATTATAAAAACATGCAAAAAATTCAATAACGGTTTCTTGGCAAAGTATTTATCTTAAAAGAAATCAAAATAATCCTAGTTCCCCTCTAAATGAGGTAAAAATAGCTTTAAGGGCCAACCAGCCCCTTATATGGGCGGGAAAATCAAACCAGCCATGTTCTAGAATCATCCTAAGCCCAATATCCTCAGTTGTCTCAGACCACACATGCCCATGACAATCTTCTCCGGTAGGAGTGGCTTCAACATCATCATTAAAAGCATCTATATCCTCAGAGTATAGCGACAAAAATTGCAACATTGAAGTTGGTGCAAATATTATAATCATTATGTAGAGCAATCTTGTAAGCATTGTCATTAACTCTGTTGATACTCCTTACCGGACCATCAACTCTAGGCCTAAATTTTCTTTACTCTAATTTTTGCATTAATGCTAAGTTCAAAGACTGGAAATATAGGTACTAACTCTAATAATGTGAAAGAGTTCTGCCATAAATATCTCAAAAGGACTATGACCGTTACACTAGCTAGTGGACCAATTGTAGGGAACTCGACTTGAGAAAAAAAATCAAATCTCACCATCTTGTGTTCTTGCCCATAAAGCACCTCGGAAATGAAGTTCTTGGTTCATTGTGGCTGTTTTCTCCTCCCCACTCAACAATTTTACACTATTCATTCAAAAAAACTCAAAGACTCTTCAACACAAACAGGGCAAACATACCCTTTATGATTTCTAGGTCTTTCACCCTCTCACTGATTAACAAATTTCATAGGCCATCCTAGCATTGCGATAATTTGGAAGTTTGCTTCAAATTTACAACTGGTAGGTGACTTGGACTCATTGACCCTCGACATGTCATCATAAGACTTAATTTATAAGAAGATTATATCAAACTCCTCTCATGGCACTCCTAAGATATTCATATGCTCCTGATGTGCATATTATAGTTGTCTTCTCAATTTAATTGCTCCATGGAATTTCCCATCATTCTAGTTTGCATCTTATTTCTATGACTTCATCTGCATTACATTAATCTCTTTGACTTCATTTTTTGAAAACCCTTTATAGGTGGATGCTATAAGTCTATAACAACTCATTTTGAGGCCTCTATGGCTTTAGTCTTGTTAAAACTGGGTGTTGTTGCACTTTCATAAAGAGGCTTTAGTTTGGGTCTTTATGTTTGGATATTAGCAGGCAGTGAAATATAAAAAAATTACATCATACTACTTCTCTTGCCATACTTTTAGACAAAATCTATGATAGTTTTAAAACTGATGCCAAGCTGAGAAATCCTTAATTTCAGTCACAAAACCATCTAAATTACACTATGGTTGAAAATGAACCTTCTATTCATGTTTGTTCCCAAAATCTAGAGCCATGTTGAATTTCTTTTTAGAAAGAAGTTGATGTTCCTGCTCATGCTAGACAGTTCGTGTTGACCATTTCATCTACTATTGAAATTTTCATTGAGAATTTTTTATAAATTCTCGAAACACCTCAAACTCTTTCCTTTGGTAAGCAAAATAACAAATATTTGCCGCAAGTTTCTAATCTTGATTGAATTTCATTTCCTTTATATCACCACTCTTCTATTGTTCACTAGATTTCAAGATAGCCGATCCAAATAAAATCTATGTATCTTCTTCTATTTTGTTATATATATATATACAGTTCAATTTTTTTGAGAGTTTAAGAGGTTTAGGCCAATAGAAAGATGTTGGGATGGAAGACAATAAGAAACAAGAGAGAAAAAAAATGCTAATGTTTGCAAACCTAAACTCCATAAGCTGGCAGCATCAACTCCTAATAAACATAATTTTTTACATGAGATCATTTCTTTAAATAAATCAAACTTGTCAGAAACTGCAATAAAATCCTTCTTTAGAAATTCGTCCATAGGCTATAATAGCAACCCCCACAAAATCTCCCAATTTGGAAACCAAATAATACCACGCTACTTAAAGGTATTCAATTAAATATTTGATTACTAATCGTAAAAATCATTTATTTGGGTATGATTTAATTTCCTACAAAAACCCATCACCTTTTTTAGATCCATGCATTATTATTAACTCAAAATTCATCAAGCAGTTGCATAAAATTTTTTTTATGTGGAAAAGTTATTGTCTACTTCGTAATGCAAACCTTGTGGTCCAGTTTACCTTGGAGCATAGCTATCACGCTAAGAAAATGAACTTTGAATCATAGAATAGTCATCTCATATTCACCCAATCAAAACAGAACACAAGCATGACTCCCAGATCAGTGTCCATCGGAGTTGTTCGAGTTTAATTAACCTTAGGGGGAATTCGCAATCACTTTTGTTTTTGTTTTTATTTTGTTTTTGTCTTCATTTAAAATAAAACATATTTGAAATGAAATAACATGTTTAATTGTTTTAAAAACACTAAAAAATAATTTTTAGATATTTTGAGTGTTTTTTAAAAACAAGTTTTTTTTTTTTGAAAAAATAACATACATAAATGGACTAAACAAATATCTTTTTAAAATAAAAGCAAAAAAACAAAAATAATCTCAAACAAACCCTTAGGAAATACATTCCCTTTGGATAGTGTGCTTAACCTTAAAAAAAACATTCCCTTCGGATGATTGATGAAACATAATCTTTGTGATTTTAATTTTTAAAATTTAAAAATGATAAGGCAACTTTTAATGAATATTTCATAATCGAAAAAAATAAATAAATAAAACAACGAAAGTGGCAGCAGCTAGCAAAGGTGAGGGCGGCAATATCCAACATGAGCAAAAGAGCGACGGAAATCAACAAGAACAAAGTGAACAATGACAACCAATGAGACTGAAGAGTAGCCGTGGCCAACAAAAGCTAGGAAAGAACTGGCATCCATCAAAAGCAAGAAAACAACGGCAGCTAACAAGAGAGGCAAGAACAACAACTAGCACAGGCAAGGCAAGTAAAGGAATCAAAGAGTTCAAAAAGAGGAGGGATCCAATTTAAGTTTTAAAAATTTAGGGTTTGTCTTGAGATTTGTTAATTAAACTTTTTATCTATTTGAAAATTTAAATAAATATTCAAAACATTTTTATTTGTTAGGGATTCTTAATGAGCACTTAACATATAAGAAAATATTTAATTAATGTTTAGTCAATATTTTTAAATAATTAGATCAAATCACTAATCTAATATTTGAAGTATTAGATGAAATTATCATAGTCTTAAAAGAATATATAATTGAATTTAAGCAGCTAAATTATTGAGTCTTAAATAAATATATTATTGAGCCTTTATTGAGCATTTTAACTATTTTATTTAAGAGCTTTTATATCAAGCACCTAGTTAAGCATGTTCATTTTGTATCAAGCTGTTATGAAAATGTTCAGAATTTTTCAACAAGTTAATTAAATGATAACAAACAGGCTAATGATTGAGCTAAGTCATGAGTAGCCTATCAAACTAACCTAAGAGAAATGTTTCCTTCCTCTCTACAAAAAGCAAATGTTTTGCATTGAACTATATAAGTTTCTTTCATATAATGTTTATCATGTAATACCATTCTAGGGCTCCTAGAAGGTGTTAAGAAGGGGATTTAGCAGAGAGGTGGTTGCGGAGTGGCAAGGGAATAATAATTTGTGAGTTTGACAGCGCTCAAATGGGGATCGGCGTCGATCAGTAGTTGTCCAGGCTGAAAACAACGAAGAAAACTACAAATCAACGACATTCGGGCAACTACGAGGTTCCACCAGTTGTTCCTGAGCAAGATACAGACACATCACTTGCAAAAGAAATGGATACATCACTCCGTAAAACAGAAAACAAAATCTACAAAACACTTTCAAAAGAACAAAAGCCCCTCAAAATTCATAACTCAAAAACTTAAAATCCAAAAAAAACTCTACTAAAATAAATATAAAAGTCCCCTAATAAAAACTATCTAATTGGAAAATAGGGAAGAAATCGAAATAAAAGAAGAGAAGGAAATTTGTTGATAAAATAGGAAAGAAAATAATAAAAATAAAAAATGCCTAGCAAGAATTTTGAAACTACAGTATTGTGGGCGGTTTACATCCATGAGAAAATTCTTGTTCCACATCTGTGAGAAGGTACGCGTTCTGCATCACTTTCCCCAGCTAGGAGAGACTCATTTTTCTTGTCTTAAAAAACTTGAATCTCATTGTCAGCTGTTTTTTCGCACAAAGTAGCAAAGAATATTTCCATAATTGCGGTTCACCACTCTTGTCTAGCAACTTGTCCATGAGTGCATTGTTGAACTAAATTTGAACCTAGTAATTTATTCATTTCATAGTCTTCCAAAATCATTTAAAATTCTCATTTTTATCTAAAGTGATAATATACTAGACCTCCCTATACTAGACCTCCCTAAGTAGGGGCAACCTAGGAG